TATTATTGTGGTTTTGTTATTTTTTACTATCATTATGATTATTGTTATCATTATTATTACTTGTTGTTTTTTTGTTATTGTTATTATTGCTATTATTTTGTTATTATTATTGTCATCATTTTGTTATATTATTATTATTATTATTATTATTATTATTATTATTATTTTTATTATTATTATTTGTGGTTGTTATTTCATCATCATCATCATATACTGTATTTCATTATTATTATAATTATTATTATTATATTTATTATCATTATTATTGGTATTGAATTATTTGTATTGTTTTTTATATATTATTAATGCTGTTATTATTATGTTTTTTATTATTATTGTTTTTATTGTCATTATTAGTATTTGCTGTTATTATTATTGTTGTTGTTTTATTGTTATTGTTATTGTTATCATTTTTATTAGCTATTATTATTTATTATTATTATTATTATTATTATTATTATTTTATTACAATTATTATTTTATTATTATATTGTTGTTATTATTGTTTTTGTTATATATCATATTATATATATCATTATTGTTTATTATTGTTGTTATTTTTTTTATTTTATTATTATTATTATTATTTATTATTATATATTATTATTATTATTATTGTTTATTTTTATTTATTATCATTATTATTATTCTATTGTCATTATTATTTATTATGATTATTATTATTACTTTATCATTATTATCATTATTATTATTTATTATTATTATTATTATTATTATTATTATTGTGTTTTTTGTTGTTGTTGTTGTTTGTTGTTTTTGTTGTTGTTTTGTTGTTTTTGTTGTTGTTTATGTTTTGTTGTTATTATTATTATTATTATTCATTATTATCATTATCAATATTATTATCATTGTTATTATTATTATTATTAATAATATGTTATTTTATGTTGTTAATATTGTATTTTTATTGTTATTGTTTTAATTATTGTTAATTGTTGTTGTTATTGCTCTTGTATATTATTGTGATTATTATTGTTATATTTTATTTTATTATTATTATTAATTTTATTATATATATTATTATTATTTATTATTATTGTTATTATTATTATTGTTATTATATTGCTATTGTTATTCTAGTCA